GCAATGCGAATTGATTTTAATTTCGACGAGTTCTTTGGTACAACGTTTGGAGTAGAGTATGGAAGAGTGGAATCTCCAATGTTTTTTTGGCAAAGTTACATGATTGAATGCTTCAGCCAGTACAAATGAGAGAATATACGGCGGCAAGAGTGGGAAACATCTGCGTAAACTCTCATGTATTTATCGATAATATTTCATTGCTTTTAAAGAACTTCGAAGCTGGGACATCGCTGTTCTTAACTCTGAAGTAGATGTGTCATAATCTGAATCTCAGGATTAAATTGATAAAAACGTGGTGGATCGAAATCGGTTGAATTTAGAGAATGGTTATCTGACCCTTGACTCTAAAGTTTTAGACAATGTACCAGAATAGATGCATTTTGGAAATATATTTACGGCAGACAGATGAGTGATAAGTTAGGTGAACCTTTGTCTGTGCAGCTGAAATTTGCATTAAAACACTGATATTTTTCCATTGCGCAAACAATTTGATCAATCGGATGATTAAAAAGAATCGGAACTTCAGCTCATGTATGATGGGTTTTGTTCAAGGTAGACAGGGTTGTTTTCGAGGCTTCTGTAACGCCTGGCACCAAAATGTGGGCCTCTGGCCGGTGCTACTGGCTATATAATTCTTTCGGCAACAGGGTGTATACAATCCTTGCACAGTTTGTATCTTTTGTCTCGGTCGAAACTGTCGCAAATCTAGATAATTAATGCATCTTTGAGGCTTCTGCTCAGCCAATTTTTTTGCTGATTCAGGTGCAGCCTGACGAGACTGTCGCGCGTTTCCGTGCCTGTTGCCGAAAAAATATATAACCAGCCGCACCGAAGCACCGACCAAAGGCTCACCTATCGATTCAAACATTACAACAGCTAGCGGCCGCAGAACAAACTTCGGAAAATAACCCGGTCAACCCTGAAGGAGGCCCGTGAACCAAGAACCGAAACATCGATTCTGGTTAATCACCCGATGGACCGAATTGCTGCGTTGTGCATCAACAGATTATGCTTCTACACCGTTTTAATATTTATCACTTAAGCGAACGAAAAAATTCGCTTTCAGATGTAATAAGTGTGTATTAATGTGTTGCATTCCAACAGAGTAGTACTAATTTATCGACCTCGGAAGGAAGGAAGGCGAGTGATCCGACTGCGACAGGAACAGGCTACTCGGTTCTGATTCCAACACTCTATGGATTGAGGAACCCCAACCTGAAGCAAAATGTGGTAAATTTGTTGCTCAAAAAAATACGTGTTTAAAACAAATATTGCCATCAGCAGCCCAAATCAGACTCGTCACCTGCGTAGTTCGATGTCGTCCTCTTAGGTACTATGCTACCACTCCGGTTTACGATCATTAGCTTTAGTGAAGCTGATGTTCTTATGATTGTCTATAGAAAATTTGGAATACGGCTGTTAATAAAAGAGGTAATTCATATGTTAGCACAGTATACCATATTCACTATAAATTTTGTCATCAATTGGAATTAGAACGAAAGAAAGGAATACCATCCATTGACATAAATCCAAGCTGGGGCGCAGTCAGTAACCTGTTATATGAAATATTAATTCGCAACGTAAATCACACACAATTGTCACCACAAATTATATTATGCCATTACTGCGTTGCCATTATGCTAAAACAATGACCTGGTCGCCATTCATTAATCCATTCCGTGCTATCGGTTTTGCTAACGAAAGGCGTATGCTGATAAATAAAATGTTGCCAATTTATTTTTTCTTTCTTTACCACAAACATGTGGATAAAGAAAATAATATGTTGATAAATTATACGCTCAGAATTGAAGACGTTTTCAAAATCCAGACTAACAATTCATTTCTGTTTGACTATGGTACACTTTCATAAACAGGTGTGATCGACCGTACTTGCTAATCAAACTGCAGGTACCTGCAAACTTATAAAATACCTTATTTCAGCTAAAATGTCTGGGATTGCGGTTGCTAGACTTGCGGAGGAACGAAAAGCCTGGAGGAAGGATCATCCTTTCGTAAGAATTTTCTAAATTTCTGAAATAGTTACTGTTGTACATGTATTCGCTTATTTTTCGGAGTTGTTTATTTTGGTGGGAAGAAATTTCTGTTGGATCTTCACTCATTCTTACACAGTGTGACGTGTTTTGGTGCTGTTATCCCTTGCTACTTATCGTGTATCATGATATACTTCTCTTAGTTTCTTCGCGATCTTTGTCGTACTACCCAGTTTATGCAGGGAAGGTTGAAGCGAAAGTTTCGATCACGATTCATTGTTTGAAGGCCATGCGCATTGACAGTTCTTTCTTTTTATCTGTCGGTTTGCTTGTAGATACAAAAATGCCGTTGCAGTCTCTGCCACAACATCCAGTGTTTGCAGTTTCTTTGAGGAAATAATGGAAACTGATCTTAGAGCGTTTATGTTTTGTTCATTCTTTCTTATAGTGTTGATTATCAGAGAGGTCAGCATGCTTATTCGTCAACAAACAGATATGTTTAATATCAGTCATGAGTTCGACATCGTCAGTAGAATGATGAATTGTGTTTTTAAACACAGACTAACCGACAGTATCGAGGTGATGCAGTCGATCAAGAGGGGCTCAAATCATGCAGAAGATGTAGAATCGTTTCGCTAGATTCCACCTCAGTGCCGGTTACATCGACCTGGATGCACTACCCAAGATTCTCTTCAGCGACGTAAAAGAGGCGTGACAGGCGTGAATGTAGCTACTCAGCCCCAGCCACTCAAGAAGCAGTTTCCTTAATTGCTGTTTTCAGTTGGAAAACTCTTTCCTCAAATTGCAGCAACGTAGAACCAGGCAAGAATATGGTGTTCTGATGGACACCAGTAAATATTATATCAGCTAAATGTTGTGTGAGAAAGGATGAAGCCAGCGTGTAATGCTGATATTAAACAGGAATTTTACTTCCGTCAGATATTTTAAAGTTTCTTTTATGCAAAAATGATATCGGAATTGATCTGATGATGAGAATTCCGAGAGCAAGACTAAGTTCGATGTAGTACGCGACAAGAGAGTGAGCTATCCTTTGTGGATATCATGTATTTTTGTTAGGCATGATAGAGGGACTTGTTCAGTTTTTCGGCTTTTGAGAAACCCGCCGAACTCTAGCCGAAGTTGAAGCCAAGATCTTTAAGGGATCTCCTCCGGATATAAAACTACCTCTGTACTTCCATCCTACAGACCAGGATCACAGTAGAAAGGCGGTCTAATTTCTCCGTTGCAGTGCAGTGCCTGTCGAGTGATAGACCAATACTTATGGGCATATATTGGACCTGTAAGATGCAGTGTTTGTTTTTTGGGACGATTCTCACTTTGATTCATTTGCATAAGCAGAACATCGCTAATTTACCATGTCCGCTGTATCCGCAGCTTTTCAACACTTGCTATAAGGCACTGGTTACTGCATCGTAGAAGTAAATACTGCTCTCTAACAGCAGATCTGGCTCTAGTTTGTCTCTCCAAGTTGCGTGCTGGCCTCATAGTCGACGTCTACCGTTTTTCGGCTCCATTCACGGGCTGGGACAGATGGTTTATGTTCAGTCAGTTTGTCATACAGGGCCAACCTCCTTTTCTGAATATCTACATCTACCGAGGTTGTCTGTGCCCGGAAGATAGAATAGAATTGCTTTCGTAGTCCTGCCAGAAAACCCTCATTATGAATCGAAGCCAGCCCTAACGCTGCTGTTAAACCGTCGTTCTTGCTCCTTCGTTAGAAAAACTGCCCCCGTTCCGTACCACAACACTGACCTGACAGAGTCAAGGCACAAGAGGATTTTCGTTGGAAGAGCAACTCACTTCTCACTCCAAATATTGGACAGGTTTCCGAAAGCACTCGAGGCTATGGCGAATCCAATATTTGACTCTGGCTGGACAGTGCGATCCTTGGAGATTATGGAGCCGAGGTATTTAAACTGGTCAGTTTCCTGAAGGGTTTTGCTTCCTTGTTCCACTTGCAGATCAGTTATGCCAGATGGGTTCCATATAATTTTTGACTTCCGGACATTAAGGGAGAGGCCGGCTTACGCAGCTGTGTAGCATACGGATGCCCGCAGATGACAGACCCCGCTTCCTGTACTGATCAATAGTATAATTTCGTTTGCTTACTTGAAGTCGGCAAGATATCTAGCCGGATATCATGAACTATGCTTTCCTTATAAAACGACTCTTTCGTCATTGTCACGATGTGCACTGTTTTGAAGGAAGTCGACAACAATGTTGAATAGCAAAGGCGAAATCACATCTCCCTGGCGTACTCTGCAGTCAGTAGAGAACCGTTCAGATAGCACTGCTCCAACTTTGACTGCAAACATAGTTCTTGCATACATCTTTTCAAATATGGGAATGATGTGCTCAGGTATCCCATAGCGTTTCAAAATTTTTAAGATCTTCGGACGATATAGGGAATTAGAAAACTGACAAAATCAAGGCAATTGAAGTTGCTATCATCCTCGGTGAAATTTTTTTGGCCAGAAATACCCCGCCCGAAAGCCTGTATGGTTTGGGCGAAGTCTCTGATCAGTTGCTTTTCTCAGCTTTTCCAGGATAATCCAAAAGTCCCGGGAGTTGCCAATAGCGTGACATCGCGATAATTGAAGCACTCGGTCACGCGAGTCCCGTAAAATATGAAGACGATTACTTCACACTTCCATTTTCCTCTAAAACATTTGTAAGCCTACATTTAGTGAAGCAGGGCATAGAACTTTTCTGCTGTTTCTATTCCCCCATACGTAGTTAATTCCAGATGAATTCATGCTACCCTGCGCGTGTTATTCACATGGAGGTATAGCAAGGCTTTTCGGATTTGCAGTTTTGTGGGTACTGACTGTACTGACCTCTGCAGTTAATTTACTGACATAATTAAATTTATCTTTGCCAGGCAAGGAACGAACGATCCAAGGTGCAACGCGAAAGTTGACTTGTAGGTTTGATTGCTGGAATCATGGATTTAATAGTTCCTAGTTGACTGGTAAGTTGCGAGCTAGAGCCGCTCGTTCAGCATCTCATTTTCGCGAAACGTATCTTGTTTGCCGTGACTATAATTATTCTATATGTGACGATAGTTCTCAAGTGCTTAGATTATCTAGAAAATGCCAACTCTATGAATGGTCCGTTATGGTAGTATTTCGAGCACTAAACACGTCTTGTCTGTTAGTTTCTTGTCATTAAATTATGCGACATTATTCAAAGCTTGTTATAGGATAAACTTCAGGTTGCGTCAGTACTCGATGGAAATCCCCCATAAACGTGAGTATACTTTGGAACGAGACGAAATTAAAGCTGCTGTACACGTACATTTGCAATCCGCTTTTTTCAGTCCTTCATGTTTAATCAGCATAATTGTGCGCCCACCCGTTAACCTTCAGTTTCGCAGCTGAGACTTAGTTAAATGGCATAGTCGCTCATGTGGACGTCTTATCGCTACAAGACCTGCTGCGATACCGAATCCACCCTCTCCCCTCCTTAATTAATCCAAATTGCTTGCCTGTGAGACCACTGAGACAGGTCATGGCGTTTTACTTTGGTTTACTTATTTTGCATACTCTCTAAAACTATATTTATGACATTATACATGACCATCAGTGCAGATTTGTAAATCAACATTTTTCTGCTGTCCGTAATGCCTTGAAAACTATTGTACTTTTGAAATTGACTCTTTTTATATTTCTGCAGTTTCTGAAATTATCTTAATTTCTTCTATAAGTTTTCCTTAAGGTTAGGTTTGCTCTTCATCTTCTAAACTAGCCCTGTCTGACGCGTCTGCCTTTGCGACCCAAATGGAGAAGCGGTCATGGAAGATGAAGAAGATGATTTCTAAACTAATAGAAATGTTGCATTATTTTTTCATTATTAGGGCTTCATCGCAGCACCAAGCAAAAATCCCGATGGAACTCTCAATCTTTACAGTTGGGAATGTGGAATACCCGGCCGTGCGGGTACACCGTGGGAAGGTGGTTTGTACCGTCTGAAGATGTTGTTTAAAGACGACTATCCGACGACACCTCCAAAATGTAATCTATATTAAATTACGTACTAAATTTGCGTGTTTGATACTTCTAGGCAGATTTGATCCTCCGCTTTTTCATCCAAATGTTTTTCCGTCAGGAACAGTGTGCTTATCGATTTTAGACGAGAGAAAAGACTGGAGACCACGCATAACAATCAAGCAGGTCAGCACTTTTGTCGGAGGCCATGCAGTTTAACTTAGTATTTGGAGCTATTCGTGTTAGCGGAATATCCATTCGATTTTACTTCAATATTTTTTAGATTTTACTCGGTATTCAAGACCTCCTGAACAATCCGAATGCGGAGGATCCTGCACAAGCGGAGGCATACCAGGTTTACTGGTAAAACATTTCATTCAGTTTTCCTAACAAGAATGTGAAGTTACTCTCTTTTTCAGTCAAGATCGAGCTGCGTATGATGCGCGGGTTAGACTCCAGGCGCGAATGCACCCTCTAACGTAAGAAGTGGCTCAATGGGTGTCAGTTGTTGGAAGGCGGTGCTTTGGCTTTACATTTCTGATTTTGTCTTTGTATATCATCGTAATAGTTTGTAAATAAATAAATACAATATAACAGTTCTGAAAGCCCGTTGCTGAAATTACATATGCTTTTCCGGTTCATGATTGATGACACCAAACAACACAGACGTTTGATGACACCAAACAACACTATTAGCAGCACGTTTCGTTGCGTAGCATCGTCAGAGCAAAACTGATTATCCGGCAGCTAGCCGCTTTGTATAAACAAAATACCTCGATTTAAATGAGTGGCCGATTGACACCAAATTTTTGCCGTCATATTCATAACTGTAAATTTTAGAGTTTAATCTCTGTCACTCATATCGTAGTTCTAAATTTTCTTATCAAGTTCCTGAACACCACAGGATTCAATTATTGCTCATTCAAGTATACCCAGAGGAAGCAATGAATGTTACTTACTGTGGGGTCGAGTGCGGACATTGTGATAAGATATGCGTTGGAAACACCAACAGGAAACTGAATATTCGGATTAAAGAACACTTATCTGTGGTATGCCTCAGGTCGGCTGATCACTCTGGTATTGCACAACGGACAATTTCTCAGGGACACTCCTTCAATAAGGCGAATGTGTCAGTAATTGACAAAGAGCGATCATAAAGCAGTCACAGTCTATAGCGACCTGACGCCCATCACGAACTGGATCAGGAACTAGTACTCTTTACCGCACAGACGTCATATGTTGTTCGTACGCCGGAGTATAGCAATGAAAGACTCCTGCAAAACTAGATTTACGACTTAATGAACCACCCCTTGCTCTTTATTGCGTACGGGTTCATTGAAGTAGGCCATCGATCCATGGTATTTGAGCACCTGTACTGCCAGGTGCAACTCTCATCATCTTGTCCACTGGACCTGCGTTGCGCTCTTCGAGAACAATATTTCAGAAGCAACTACTGATCATATGCTACTACATAAACATCAAAAGCTGTTCTCGCACCCATGCATGTCAGAGAGCGAGGCTTATTGTCATAGAAACATCGTTCATTCGTGAAGTCTAGTCTGAGACAAGTGATTCGTTATTTAACGGGTTTTGTTGTTGACTTTACAGTTATCTGACCTGATTCTGAGCGATCAAAAAAAATCCATACAATTACATGAATTTAGCTTTATAAATAGCAGATTTTTGGCAGGGCTTGTTCTGGTGGTTATGTTGCGTTTCTGCAACGATCTGGTTACTCTCGAACATTTATTCACCATTCCAGACAAAAGGAGGTTCATTTCAATTCTTAATACTTGGCGTAAATCCATCGCTGAATTGCTTCCAGATACTTACGGGGACAGGGATCATGTATAGTCATGACTCCACGGTATTACAGCACGCGTATAGCGCGTCTCCTGAAAAACTACCGTAGGTGTCTACTGTGGTTGCGTTCCAACTTGAAAAGCATTGGCTGAGATAAAAGCATATACAGATTTGACGGCTTCTCTTATCACTGTGTAATTACAGTGTCCTGTTCATTTAACGAAGTCATCATTTCCTATAAATGCAAGCATCTGCATGATGAGTAAAGTGTAAAATAGATCCCTTTATTCTTTTTCATCATTTCAATAGAGATGCTTCTATTCTTATTCACCATTTACACTGTTATGATTCTTAGTCAGTGATAAGGTAAACAATTCTAGAAACTAATTTTGCCATCTTTCAGGTACTGCTAACCTCATCGTGATCAAAAGTAACAAAGCGTAAACGTCAATACTATTTAGATCAGTGGCGCTTGACTGAAATCTGGTGGTCAGCAACTTTGATTCGCTATATTGAACTGTAATGTAGCGCTAAAGCGCCCATCACAAGAAAACCCATGACCGTTTTTTTCAGGTTTTGGTCAAAATTTAAATAACTCTCAACTCTGTATTTCCGCCAGAGGACTACAAGATGTTGCATACAAACTCAATTAAAAACAAGCAAGCACTTACCAATTTGCAGACGCAGTGAACCAGGATAATTTTACTCGTCAGACTGAGTGCAAATCTTCAACCAACTATTGAAAATGTGTACATGGTACCAATATCAATACAGGAGATCCATTTACTAACTATTATGATAATATACAGAAAAACGAAATCAATCGCAGCAAAGGTACTGACTTTCAAAAGTTCACACCGGTTGAATTGGCAATTACATTAGCGTGTGCATCTTCGCTTGGATTCTAACCCTTGCATCATACGCTGCTCGGTTTTTATTGCAAAAAAGTAGCCTCGAATTCTTGCTAGAAGGTCAAATTCTTGGTCGAATTATGTGTTTCATCAATCAATATAATATGCCTCCGCCTGCGCGGGATTTTCCGCATTTGGGTCACTCAGAAGGTTTCGAATACCGATTAAGATCTAAAGTATACTACAACAGAATTTGAAAAAAAATTTGCTGACACCAATAGTTCGAAATACGAAGTAAACAATATGCCAAGAGATACGAATACAAATCTTCAGTTCCTATGTGCATGTGACGTTCTTTCCAAAACTTACGATCCTGAAATTGAAAGTCTAATCTCTGAGAAATACACTGCGGTCGTTCCATTTCAAGATTTGTTTTGGTCCGAACACGCGAATCTGGTTTCTGATCAAACATACAAGCGCGTTTACCATATTACTGGTCTGAGGCAAAAGGGGCTCCAACATCCATTCAGTAATCAAATGCTACAGTTTTTACTTATGCCTCCCCCCAACCTTCTTTACCAGACTTGTCAAAACCTATCTTCGCTTTTAACGCAGCACAGAGTCCTCAAGTTGACAGCACGTAAGGGCTGCTTCGATCTTGAAGTTCTCGCCAGAGAGTTTGTGCGAGACGTCCTGAACGCTAGCCTATGCTTGGGCATCTACATTTCCTAAAACAGCTCAACGATCTGGCTTTGTCGTCTTGTACATTCCTTCATCCCCGAACAACATCAAAATAGTGAAAATCTACTGTGGGGTGGGAATGGGACAAAATTCAGTTATTCCTGCGTTGCCTCGCATCATGAATGACCCATCATCGCTTACTGACAGTTGGTGCAAACAGCTAGTTAATTTGCCTACTGCCTAACGTGTACTTAGGCTTTACGTTTCTCATGTTGTTCTTTTGTGCTGAAAGATATGGTCACATCTAGATTATTCAAGCAGTAAATATACATATACATACATGAATGGATTCCGATAAAAAATACTAACCTATTTGATTGTCATGCCTGGCCTTCAGTCCTGCCATTCGTCCAAAATCGCTAAGCACGCCGTTTATGACGGATAAATATTTGAATGATAAAAACGGACAATCAAATCTGCCTAGAAGTATCAAACACACCGATTTAGTACATAATCCAATATAGATTACATTTTGCAGATATCGCTGGATAGTCATCTTTGAATAACATCTTCAGCCGGTACAAACCACCTTCCTGCAGCGTACCTGCACGACCAGGTATTCTCCATTACCAAGTGTAATGACTGAGAGTTCTATCGGGATTTCTGCTTGATGCTGCGATGAAGCCCTAATAATGTAAAAGTAAATCCGCACTTCTATTAGTTTAAAAAATGATCAGCAAAACCAATTTTTAGTAAAAGCTCATAGAAAAACGTTAAGAGAATTTTAGAAACCGAAGAGATGTGAAAATACGCAAATTTCAAATGAACAAGTCTTCAGGACGCTACTGAGGGCAGAAATACGTGTTTAGAAATCTGCCCGAAAAAAACTATACACAATTTGATAAATATGGTTTCAGAGTGTATGTGACACAAGTAAGCCAAGATAAACGCCATGCAGCCTTGATCGGTTTCAGTGGTGCTCTACGCAAGGAGTTTGGATCTGGGAGGGAACGGGTTGGGGTGGATCCGCTATCGGCGCAGTGCTTTGTAGCGGCAGGATGTCCACATGAGCAACTTTGTAATTTAGCAAAGTCCCAGATGAGGTATGTGCAGATTGTCAAGTATGTTAGGTGTAATGAGAAGCAACAGTGAGGTAGCGTTCAGGCCGTGCTACAGAAAAACAGTGAAATAACAATCGAAGCGTTTAGATTAAGGTTGTGCTGAAAGTGGACACCGTTGAATTTTACGTGGTTATTACAACCCGCTTCAAAGTTTCTACAGAAGACAACACGTTTTCATTTCATTCGCTGTGTGTAATTTGTAATTTTTAGTACTATTTTTATTCGAGTGGTATTGCGAGACATTTAAACTTTTGGGTCTGCTATATCTGTATTCAGCCTATTCGCAGAACACAGTGCTAGGCCTTTCTGAAGAGTAGAAAGCGTCGGTTTTTGGTTGACTTATTTTCAACCTGGTCTCATCGCATGTACTAGCGAGAGGTCCCGAGTTTCGGGGGGGGGAGAGCTCCCTTCGAATCGTTCGCCATTTTCCCTTCTGATGTAGACAAATAAGTACCTCTCTGTGGGAAGGAAACAGACCACTATACACTATGCCTGCTACATAGCTGTAATGCCTGCGTTTAAAAAATTAAGGCATTCCTGGCTGATGGTATAAAAACTTGAGTATGGCGTCCCAACATTACCTTCAAATAAACCAAAAAAAATCAAAAGATTTTAGTCTTTATTTAACGGAAATAACAAGTAAACCTAACACGGACTAACATTTAAGCAATCATAATTCAGTGGTATAAAAATATGGATATAAAGCACAAGAAAAAACAAAATAGAAGCAATGAAACAAGATGTGATGATGTGGAAACGGGTTGATGGATAGAAAGTTAACGCAGATGAATATCTAAATGCATA